TTTTGTTATGTACACTATTTATAAGTTTTGAAAGAATGATGTGACGCAAACTACTTGTGCTTTAATATTAAAAAAACAAACCTACTCACCTTCAGCTGCAATTTTAACAATTTATACTTGAATGGTCAAATAGTTTCAAATGAACCGAGTTGATCCACAACAAAAATGGTATATCATTCACTGATTTGAGTCCCACCTGAGATATGGAGTTGCCTTTTGGGGATTTTGCAGTAAACAACTTTTTCATTCAGTGTTTGTTTTGCAAAAGCGAGCGGTTAGATACTTATGCAAGGTGGGAGTGCGTGACTCATGCAGACCATTATTTTTGAGAGAGAAAATTCTCACTGTTACTTGTATTTTCATACTGGAAACTGTTTGCCTGATTTACAAAAAACAAAATATGGTTGGAACTCCAGAATAAATGGAAAAAAAACTTACCTAAAAGTGAAAACCTGAAAACATCTTGAAATTGAAAGCAAACACTTTAAAAACTCATTAAAAATATTACCAAAAAGCACTGCTATAATACAATACTGCCTGTTTTATACACAAATAACAAATATTATCAAGAAACACTAAAACGATTTACGGAAATATTTTTCAGTCCCGATCCGTCACGGCATCCCGTCCGAATAATTAAATCAAAAACAAACGCAGTCTTACACTAACGAAGACCAACTGGAGGCTAGCCTCCTCTAACGCTATAATTTCTGCAACTAAAATTAGAAATCGGGGCGTATGTCGCTGGCTGGATCGGTCTCGCGGCGCTTGTGTTTTTTAAAGCGGCCGGAGGCTTGGCTCGCTTGCAACGTATCAACGTATGAAATTTATTATTTCGGGTTGATGGTTTCTTCGTTATTCATTCGTGGGCGGTGCGTTTGAGGTTTGTTGATGCAGGTTACAGTGTAGTACGTACTATGTAGTGAGTGATAGTGTTTTAATGAGGCTGCTGACTCCCTTGCAAAGGAGGGTGCTGCAAACAGCTTCATCGCACCAGCCTGTCTTTGGCATTGAACACCTGGATGTGTGTGTCGCCTCTGTCTGGAAAATGATGAAACAGCAGAGCACATACTTTGTGCCTGCCCCGCTGGGGACCGAATCAGGTTTTCAGTGTTCAGCAGAGCTGTACTCTTGCCATCTGACCCGAAAGACCACTCACTATACAAACTAATCAGCTTCGTTGAGAAGCT